TCTCTCTCTCTCTCTCTCTCTCTTTCTCTCTCAGAGGATTTTGAAATTTTTAAAAATGAAATCCAAAAGTGTGCTCTTTCAACTCTCACTGGTACTTCGCACCTACAATCTGGCTTCTACTCTTACCATATCAATGAAATTATTTCTCAAGTCATCAGTCCTTGTCATACTTGATTTCTCTACTGCTGATTATTCCCAGAGCCTTTAAACTCTCTGCCCTGTCATTTATTGAGCAAGTCAACAAATGTATCTATGGCACTGCTCTCTCCCTGTTTTCCTCCTGTTTCTCTGGCCATGTATGTTTGCTGTCCTACATGGGCTTCTCTTCCTCTGCTTAAATTTTAAGTGGGCTATTCCCCAGTATTCCATCCTTTGGTCTCTCCTCTTCTCACCATATACTTTATTCTGAGCACTCTCATCTATGCCCGGAGATTCAACAAACAACTGATGATCATTGTATTTTTCAATCTTCAACCTAGACATCTCTTCTGAGTTCCATACTCATCTACCTACCAGATATAGCCATTTGTTTTTCCTTTCAGATGCTTTTAATTCAGCGTGCCCACTGCAGTTCTCTTTGTCTCCCTGCATTCCACTTCTCAGTCAGTAATACTGCCACCATCCAGGTATCTAAGTAATAACCCAAGACATAGGCGTTTATTACATCTCTGTTTTTGATATCCAATAATGAGAAACTCTATCCATTTTACCCCAAAGATTCTCTTCAATCTGCTTCGCTTCATTATACTGCTGCTCTTTTTGTTCAGACTCTGTTTCTGCTTCTCTGAATTACTCCATTAGGCTCCTATTTTCTCTCCCTGCCTCGAGTCTTGTTTTTCTTCAGACCGTCATCCTGGCTGCCATTGTGATCTTTCAAAAATGCAGGTCTGATTAAATCACTTCCTTGAGTAAAATCTTTAGCGGCCCCCTAACAGTTCGATTCAAAAATCATTAAGCATCTACCAGTCACAAATCAGTCCTGTCTCAGAGAGTCTCTCAAAAGTATTATTATTACAAACAAGGCCTCTAGTTTTGTACCACTTCTTCACACCTACCTAATATTCTAGTCATTCTAAACCATACTTGTGATTTCCTAGATATGCCATGTTAGTCACACAACTTAGATTACTACCCTGTTTTACTTAGATGATTTGTACTTATTCATCAAGGCTCAGATTAGTTAAGAAGTAGGAAGCTTTCCTTATCCATCCTTAAGTATGAATCAAAGTCCCTCTCCTGCAATCCTATAGTAAGTACCCTGCCTTGTATCTATTGAAATACATTCTAATTGATGCTTTATTTTTTCTAGTCCTAACTGTTAGCATATTAAAGGCAAGGATTGTATTTTTCATTCTTGATTACCAAACCAAATATAATGCTATCTACATAATAAGAATTCAGTGAATGTTTGTCCATTTGCCAGCATGGCCAGATACTGTAGTCATACATACCCTTGTTCATTATCTTTCAAGTCCAGCTTAATTCAATGACTACCCAAGTCACCTGTTTCCTTTCTTTTTAATAATGGCCGATTCCTTTTCTTTAAAAAAAAAAAAAAAAAAAAAAAAAAAAAAAAACCTTTTACTGCGGAAATTTCAAACAAATAAAAGTAGAGAAGATAGAATAATGAACCCACAGGTACCCATCACCCATCAATAATTATCAGCATCCTGCTATTCTTGTTTCATCCATATTCCCACCACATCTTGTCATAAAATAGTTCAACATATATCTCTAACTAGATAAACATTTTTTCAAAGTATAATGCATTTCTTGCTTTTATTCTAAGCATATTCTACTTTTTCTTATGTTGTCTACATTCCAGTTTAGGCATTATAAGTACTCCTTTCATATCCTGTAATGTCTACCAGTCTTCCTTCAGGCTTTACTTGGGCTTCTTTTTTTCCCTCTCTCTTCTTGTGTATATTGATTTTTTAAATTGTATTAAAATACACTTTACATAAAATTTACCATTTAACCATTTTTAAGTATAAAGTTAGGCAGTGTTAATGTACATTCATGTTGTGCACACAATCTCCAGAACTTTGCTTATTTTCTGCTCCTATAATTAAAGTTTAAACTCCAGATGGGTAAGATTTTTAGGTAGAATGCTTGACACCTAATGCTCAATAAATAATTGCTGAATTAATTCAGTCCATGTATCTATGCATATCTTTGTGGTTGCCCCCCAGATCTACATCACAACCTAAAAGGCAAAATGAAGGCATATCCATCTTTCCAAAGCAAGAGGACTGGTGTGAATTGGACAGATGATGAAAAAAGGATCTATAGGGATAAAAAAATAGCTCAAACTGAAGAAATGTTGCAGTATTTGTTCCCTATCATGGAGAGCACTAAAGACATGCAATCCTCTCAGATAAAACAGATATTGAATCCAAGAACCAGCTTCAAAATCCAGCATCAGTAAGTCAATACAATTTTGTCATTTTTAACTATTTAATACAGTCTATTTTAAGGAAGCAAGGCTTATTAATCCATTATCCTAAAAAACAAACATAGGCTCTTAAAAATGATGGCAGCTATACCACGTTTGACTAAGGGACAAAGGCCATAAGAAAAAGTTGGATATGTGAAGAAGTAGGTTATCGGCTATATTGGATTGTTTATTTGCATGGAACCACTCATTAATTTGAATCTATGAATTAAGTATGTATTAGCAAAGTATGACCATAGCCTGACTTGAAATTTCTCAGGTATATCTAAACCTTGTAATCCTAGGAGGCAACCAGAATTGGAAATGATTAACTTCAGTTACTTCAGCTTATTGATACTCAGAGGACAGCAGAAAGAATGAGATCAGATTCCTTTTAAAGATAAAAAAATAGAACTAATACTAAGGCCAAAAGGGAACCTATAATAAAAGAAAGACAATGACAAGCAGAAAATAATAAATACAATACTATCAACAAATTTCGATAAAGCACTTTATGTGCTAGACACTGTTCTATGTTTATACATGCACACACACACACACACACACACACTCAATGTTTTACATTCTATACTTGAGGAAACAGATACAGAGAGGTTTGTGATTTGTCCAGTGTCATATGGCCAGTAGGTAGCAGAACTGGATTCAACCCCAACTAACATTCTGACTCCGGAGTCCTTCATCACCGTGCTTTGACATTTCTCGATATAATATAAACGAAAAACAGAAGATCAATTTACTTAATATTCAAAAATAGCCTATGAATCAATTTTAAAAATTATGAATATTTTAATAGGAAAATGGGCAAAGGCTATGAACCAGAAATTCACAAAGAAAAAAAAAACATGGCCAACGAACATTTTAAAATGTTCAATCTCACTTAAATCCAGGAAGTGCAAATTAAAACAATAATGAAATGCTGTTCATTTTTGCCTCTCAGTGAAAGAATTCATTCACTGATTGTTGGAATATAAACTGGAACAGAGTTTCTGGAAGACAGTCCAACAATATGAATGAAAAATTCTTAATATCTACATTCATTTTGACAAGATATTTCATTTTTAGAAATTGATCCTAAGGGAGGGGGAAAAAACCTAGGTAAAGGCTAAAGGATTTCTGTAGTGGTGTTCATTTCAATATTGTTTATAAGAGCCAAAGGAAAAAAGAAGCAAGTGATTTTGAAAAAGAAAGATAAAGTAGAAAGAATCAATCTATCTGATTTCAAGACCATTTATATAGCTACTGTAATCAAGAGAGTGTAGTATTGGAGGAGGAATAGACATATATATCAATGGAGTCAAACACAGAACTCAGAAATAGACCCTTACAAATATGTTTGACTAATTTTGACAGAAGTACAAAAGCAATTCAATGGAGGAGAGATAGCATTTTCAACCAGTGTTGCTGGAACAATTAGACATCCATAGACTGAAACAATGAACTTTGACCTAAACTCATACGGAAGGAAAAAAAATTCAAAATGTATCATGGATTTAACTGCACAACACAAATCTATAAAACTTTTTTTTAAAAAACTAGAAAATATGATCTAGAGTTAGGCAAAAAGTTATGTTTTACACCAAAAGCATAATCCATAAAGAAAAATTGATAAATTGGACTTCATCAAAATAAATGTTTGTCTTTCAAAAGACCCTGTTAAAAGGATAAGAAGACAAGCTATAAAATAGGAGAAAATATTTACAAACCACATAAACAAGAGACTAGTATCTAAGTTAAAGAGGTCTCAAAATTTAGCAGTAAGAAAACAAATATTTCATTTAGAAAATGGGCAAAAGACATAAATAGACATTTTACCAAACCACATGGAAAAGATGTTCCATATGATTAGTCATATTGAAATGCAAATTAAAACCACAATGAGATAACTACATACCTATCAGAATGGCTAAAAGAAAAAATAGTGTTAACACTGACTGCTGATGAGGATGCAAAGAAATTGGATCACTCATGTACTGGTGATGGGACTGTAAAATGGTACCGTCGCTCCAGAAAACAGTTATACAGTTTTTTAAAAATCACCGATGTAGCTACCATATGACCCACCAATTATTCTCCTGGGCATTAATCTCAGAGAAATGAAGACTTGTGTTCACACAAAAACCGGTACACAAATGTTTATAGCTATTTATAATAGTCATAAACTGGAAACAATCCACGTGGCCTTCGGTGGATGAATTATTAAACAAATGTGGTATATCCACGCCATGAACTATTACTCGGCAAAGAAATGGGTTACTGATAAACAAGACAACCTGGGTCAACCTCCAGAGAATTACGGTGGGTGAAAAAAGCCAATCCCAGAAGGTTACATGCAGTACATTCCACTTACATAACATTCTTGAAATAACAAAGTTATATAATTGAGACAACAGATTAATGATCGCCAGGAATGAAGGAGGGGATGGGTAAGGAGGAAATCAGACGTGTTAATAAAAGGGAAACATAAGAGAACTTTTCTGTCCTATGATTATGTCAGTGGTAGTATCCTGATTACGTCATTGTACTATAGTTTTGCAAGATATTACATTTGGGGGAAACTGAGTGAGAGGTACATGAGATCACTCTGTATTATTTCTTCTAACTGCAAATGAGTCTACAATTATCTCAAAATTAAAATTTTAGTTAAAAATATGGTTGAGATTTTGTTGTTAAAAACATGGAACTCTAAGGAAAACCGAGAAATTTTACGTGGCCACAATTAATAATTTACAAAACCTCCCTCTCTTGAGGAAAACTATCCTCTCTTGGAGTTACGTTGATCTTTTCACTGACTATAGAAAGAAAAACTTGCAGTATTTATACTGAGTTTGTTCTAATAGAATAAACAAAGTAGATTTTTAGAGCAAAGTGAAACTTTAGAGAACATCTACTTCTACTAGATGTGTAAATAAAAGTAAAGATTATATCAGGAAGCCTGGGGTCAGGGAACATATCTAAATAAACATATGCTCTAGGCATTTAGAAATACAGAATTAGAGTAATGCTGAAAAGTCATGACCAGAGATGAAGATCACTCTCATAAAAATAATGGTAAAAGTCTTAAGGGAGGAAAAAAATAGATTGATATCATGACAAATACTTAGGGACTACAACTACCTTGGGTACATGTTGGGCAAAAACTCATATATTTCATTTCTTTCCTAGACTAAATCCAGCTCCTTATGTAAACAGAAAGAGACACAAGACATCTTGGATGCCACCCAGACATAACCCTTTTATAAGCCCAAAAAATCTTATGGTAAGCTCTTCAGAATGGCGCCAGTCTGTATCTCAGCCGTCATTTGAAACGTTGTCACCTCTCAAAGGACACAAGAAGAGGAAAAAACGTTTTCAAATCAAGGCCATAAAGTCTAAAGACATGGAAGCTGTCAGCAGCAAATGGGAGACTACGTCCTCGTGTTTTGAAAAGGATGCAAATATTGTCAAAGGCAAGAGCCTTCGCGCTGAAGACTCCAACCAGCGAAGCTCTATGCAGACAGCCCCCCATCTAACTAAAAATAAGCAACCAAATAAGAGTTCCGTTCAGAGTTCCAAAGGCAGAAATAATTTAGCTTTACACTGCTGACAACTGCGGATGAAAGATAACGTATGCTTACATATTAAAAGGAGAAAGAAAAGAAAGAGAAAAGCCCTCCCCATCCCTCTCTCACTGGTCCTCCCCGTCCACGTGCGCATGCGTATACTAAAATACAAATTCTAGATACCGCATCTTCTTTAGTGGGAGCATCTTTCAGAGGTATAAAAAGAAATCCAGAGAAAACTTTAAAACAGAGAAAAATTTAAAATAGAAATTTTTAAATTGCTTACGTATTTATATTTAATTTTTGTCGAAATGGTAAAAAAAAATCTCTGCACTTTTGATTTCTTCCAAAATGACATTCATACAACACCAAAAAAACCAATAACTCAGAAAGAAATGACCTGTACTATCACTGACTTTAATGTCCCTACTAGGCGCTTCTGTGAATCAATTGACAAACATCATTTCCTGAATTTCTTTTGTATCCGTAGAGCACTAGAAGCCATTAATGATATAAAAGACATTTCTCCCCACTAGGTTACTGTATAATTGTACATATAAAACATATATGACTAAAATAATTACAGAATAAAATAATTCATAGTAAAGTGCTAAGATGTATACCTCCAACAAGTAGAAAAATATTCTTTATTAAAAGAGGTTAATTGCACAGAGCAAAAGTGTGGCACAAAATGGCACTGACATGCATAGATTATGGTTTAAAATAGTCATTTTACTTCTCAAATTTTAGCAGAAATGCAAAAGATTACACATGCAGTTTCCTTTAGAGCTGATGAATGTTCATCTCTAGCCATTTATTCATGTGGAAGCGAGTGGAGCACCTCACAGTTTGTCATTTATAAGATAGCGAGCACTGGCAAGATTCCCGAAGGACACTGCTCTTTTGAATACATATTTCTATCCTATAATGCATCACTTCACACCCTGGTGTTCAGCTTTCAGAGTAACTAGTTTATGTTAGTACCAGAATGTTGACGTTGTCCCTGCCCTGGAGACATGGTTATGATGGCTAGACCAGATATTCGCAAATTCTGCCTTTAGTGGTAGCAGCTACCATTGCCCAGTACTGCGCTAAGGACTGTCCTGCATCACCTCCTATTTCTACAACAGCCATGTAGAGTAGGCTGTGCTTGCTTTCCTTTTACAGATGAGAAATGATGCTCAGGGAGGTTAAATAATTTGCTAATCTCTAACAGAGCTCCCTGATGCCGGAGCCTCTGCTCATCTTTTCTATTAGATCACATCACCTCTTTCTAAGATTTGAGTTTAAAAGAACTGCAAAGAGGGAAAAAGACAGAGCAGATCACAGAACTTATGTGGGGGTGGGGAAGAGAACCCCTGAATGATTCAGCAATATTACTAGGTGGCTGTCCACTGGCTTAACCCAGCTCAACCCCGACTCAGAATTTCTAACTGGTCCCGTGAACAAAGGAAGCGCTTTTTAAACTCTGGCTCAGAGCCCCCATGATTACAAAAATAGACGGCTTCATTCTGCTCTTACTTTGAAATAAAGATGTTCTAGTTGCTCCAGCATGGGCCTAACCACCCTGGTGAAAATGCTAAGACAAGGTTCTGTGTCCAGAGAAGCCCAGTCATCCTGCAAAGCCAATTTCTAAAAAGGAGGGGATGTGATGGCATAACTGCTTCCCACTGGGTGACCTGGATCCAGGAACTTGGACAGAGGATCTTGAAGTTCTCTTCTAAATAGGATTCTAGGTTGTGTTTATCTTGGAGTTTAAATCGCTGTGAGCTTTGAGAGTTGTCTTGACCAGTTTCTTTTCTGGAACTGTTGTGTAATATAATCAAGATGCTTACCTGGTCATTAACTCGGTTGGTTGGTTCTGGTGTGGGTAAAGTACGTGGTCTGCGAAAAACAAAACAAAACAAAAAAAAACTGTTGTTTATGATCCTCTTTCTGAGAAGTCCCGGCAAGCTAAGAAGTGAAAGTGAAATCTGCTGATCATGACCTCAGCAGAAGTGTACCAAAGTTCAGGAAGCGTTTACTTAGGCACCAACTGCGAATGCGAGCAGGTCATAAGCTCAAGACTGGATCTGTCTGCCATTCCCCTCTCCACTGTCCTGTTTCTGGAGCCTGACACTAGAAAGCCAGCGAGAAAGAAGAATCAACAGAACCTGATTTCCTGCTCCTCCTTTTTATGAGTGTTTCTGTGGGTTCTGCATCTTCTTTTTGTAAGTACCTACCCTGCACGTACTGCCTCTTGCCCAGATGCCTGCCAGTCTAGAAGACGAGTTTGTTTTCTTGTCAGACCTTTCACATTCTAGCAAGTGGGCACTGGTAGTCAGTGTCTGTGACCTTCTTCCCCCGTGTATGATCTACCCTTGTACTCTCTGCTGTCCTTCCCTCTCTCCAGCATCACCCTGTGTTTCTCTGGCCTCAAAAATAGAGCGGTGGGGAATGGCGGGGCGGGAGGGGAAGTAGGTATCGTCAGGATCACTGGTTCAAAACACACAAGGATATCTGAGCAGCAGAGTCTTGCACAAAGTCCACACAAATATCTGTGGCTTTGTAAAGGGGGTTGTTCATCAGATGTAGGCGGCCAAACAAAGACAGATCATGGATTCACAGTAGCTAAACTGTAGTTTAAAATTCATAATAGCTAAACCGTAGTTTAAACTGTAGTTATAGAAACACTGTGAATCCTAAAAGCACACACTGTGGGTTAAGGCTGTCAGGAAGACCTGTATGGAAGAATATTATAAGATCTAAGAGATTAATAAATCAGTTATTGGATGCCATTGCTTCTCACACCTCGATGGAAATTCATGGTGGTATTAGTTCTGTTGGTGCATATCTTAAAAGATTTTTTTGTATTTTTTCCCTAATAACCTCCATTATGCTTCTTCACCTGTAAGATCAAAAGCTTCTTTGGGAAAGGAAAAACTATATAGGCAAATATGTGATTCTTTCTTTTCTTCTTTCATAATGACAACTAAAGTTCATTTTTCAATATCTTCTTCCCATACTTCTCCCCTCCCAAAGTCTTGGATCTAAGAGTCGGTTTATGTGGCATCCTCTTTTTGATTTTTTTTTTTTTTTTGCACATAGTCCCCTTCCTCAATGTTCTTTCCCGCTTACTCCCTGCTTTATCAAATTCCTAAGGTTATATTTGTTTATTCGTTTTACAATTTCACTTTTTCGTAAACATAACACATAATTCTGGATCTATTTTTAATGCGAAAAAGAGAATAATTGCCCATGCCGCCACTCAGAAATGCTAGTAAGAAATACATTTCCTTACTGTCTTTCTTGAAGTCATGCAATATAGTGTGATTTTAGACCTGTTGATTTCTAAAAGCTACATAGAGTGTCATCACCTCAATATGTCTTAATTTAATTCTGACATAAAATTGCTTCCCATTTTTTGCCAAAATGATACTGCGATGAACAGTCCTATATATAAATCACCAACTGCATTTCTGATTGCTGTCTTAGGATAGACCCATTCATAGTGGAGTTACTAGGCCGAAAGATATGACTGTTTTTAGGGTTTTTAATGCATATTGCCAAATTGCCTCCCAGAAAGTTTGTAAGAATTTTCACACCCACCATCATTGTATGAGAATGCCAATTCCCCTGCACTCTTGGTATCAAGTGTTTTTATCTGCTGTTTTGATGAAACTCATAAGTTGTTTTACTTGGCATGTCTGATTACGTTACGTATGTAGAGTATAGAGTTTGTGTGTTAGTTAATGTGATATAGTGATTTATAAGAAGAAATATATATTTGTTCTTTGTCCCTGATTCTGGCATAGAGCTCCGAAAACCCTCGGAATTTCATAAGTGATAATACAGATAAAGATGTCTTATTTATTCATAACAGGCCCTTTTAAACCACATCAAAGTTCATGTTAATGAGATGACTTCCACAAGCTCCTAAGAATGGAGGCCGGTTGCCAGGGGCAATGAGCATGTGATTAAAGGATTGGAACTTTTAGTCCCACCGCCCCGAACCTTCAGGGAGGTGAAAGTGGTTAGAGATGGAGTCAATCACTAATGGCCAATGATTTAATCAATCATGTCTATGTAACGGAACCTCCATAAAAATCCCTAGAGTACAGGGTTCGAGAGCTTCTAGGTTGATGAATGTGTGGAGGTGCTGAGCGGGTGACGCAGCTGGAGTGGGCGTGGAGGCTCCATTCCCCTGACCCCATGCCTTGCCCTATGCATCTCCTATGTGGCTGTTCTTGAGTCGTAACCTTGCATAATAAGTCATCTAGTCAGTAAACTGTTTTCCTGAGTTCTGTGAGCCACTCAGCAGATTAATCAAACCCGAGGAGTGGAGGGAGGTCATGGGAACCTCCAGATTATAGTCAGTCAGTCAGAAGCACAGGTGACAACCTAGCCTTGAGCTTGACATCTGAAGTGGAAGGGAGGTGTCTTGTGGAACTAAGCCCGTAACTTGTGGGATCCGATAGTATCTCCAGGTAGATAGTGTCATAATTAAGTTAAATTGTAGGCCATCCGGAGAATTGCTTGGTGGAGAAAAACCCCCACATGTTTGGTGGAGAGTACAGAGAAGGATAAACGGTTTTTTACAGTTAAGGGCTATTTTGCATTCCTTCTGTTTTGAAATATCTCTTGACATTCCTTGTCCACTTTTATGGGGGTTAATGTTTTTCTCATCTGTTTGCATGAACATTTTATGTATTAGGTATATTAATCATTTTATTTGTTGAAGATATTTTTCATGCTCATCGGCTTTTAATTTTATTTATGTTTTTATTGTATAGAAATGTATATTGTAAATAGTTAAATTCGAACAATTTTTCTTGGTAGTTTCAATTTGCTTTTAAGCTCAGAGCGTACTTTCTCACTCATGAATCAAATATTTACCTTCTCTAGGTTTCTGGTTGGTTTTTTGTTTGTTTGTTTTTGGGTTGGTTTTTTTTTTTTTTGTCTGTTGGTTTATTACATTTCACTATTGGATCCATGTAAAATTTATTTTGGTATGTGGAGTGAAATGAGGATTTAAAATAGTTCTGTTTTCAGTTAACTAATTGCTTCTGCAGTTAAAAAAGAAAAAGTTCTTCCACTAGATTATAATGCCATTTTTGTCACACATGAACTTCATATGTATATTCAGCTTTTCTGAAATATTCTGCTCTGTTGAGCTGTCTGCCCAGTACCCTGCTATTCTGTTTCATCTGGCCCAATTTCCACTCCATTTATTTCCAGGTAGCATCTACCTGGGCGCCGAATCCTGCAATTACTTTAATGACTCTAGCCTGCTTTAGGCCTCCAAATGATACATCTTTAAGTGAAATAATAAATATAACAAATATCTTCGGAAACTAAACCTTCAGATGCGTGGACAGCATATTCTCATTAGCGACTGAGATTTTACAGAGCTCACGCCATGGGCTCACACTGCCTCAGCTTTCTCAGCCCTGTCAACCGACAAAACCGAACAATTTAGTAACTAGTTTACTCGTTCCTTTATTCAGGGAAAACAATCCATGGATTGGGGGAGCAGGGCGCCTCACAAGCAGTGGAGCCTCTTCCTGAGAAATTTGGGTAAGATTGAGTTTCCTAGAGTTAGAAGAGGCAAGAGGAAGACTGGGCAGATTAGGTAGAAGCTGGAGGATTTCCTTACGAGGCTAGGGGGCCTGCTTTCTAAGGCCAGGTAAGTGAGCTAATGCTGAGTCGGGGCTGGGGGTAGATTGTGAGTGGTGCTTATTAGGGTTCCTTGACAGGTATTTCTCATAATTATAGGCTGACGTCAGTTTTCGATTTATGACAAGGCCAGGCCACTGGGGCGGCCTCCATTTTGTGGGTCCCGATATGTGAATTAACTTTAGCAGCCCAGACCTAGACCTCAATAGACTTTGGGGGTGACGTCCAGATCCCCACCCCTTTTGTGAGGACAGATACCTTTTGTCCACTTGGCAGTGGTGAGGAGGTGAGGGTACTACCAGCCAAGTCCCTGGCACAGCGGAGAACGAGAAGGAGCAGTGATCTCTGCCCTTCCTCCAGCATCCTGCCCACTGAGGAGCAGAGCTGCAGTGACGCCAGCCCGAGAAGTGACTGGGGAATGTTCACTCTCTGAGATTCCCAAATGCTGGTGTGAGGGATGGTAGGGGAGGCCCCTTAGCATCTGCTACCGAATTTGTCTGCAGGTTGCTTTCTTTGAGTTATTTTGCACGTGTTTAGAAGCCATGTCACGTGCATCGCAAGCTCACAGGTAAGAACCGCATCCTCTTGTATAAGGATGGAGGTGACGTTCATGGATAATAGCCTCCCTTCCAGCCAAGTCTCAAAATACCTTTCACAAAATTTAAAGTCTAGGTCTTAGTGACTGTCTAGCATTCCTTGCCTCCTCCTCTACTTTTCTTTGGCTGTTAGGTTTTAACTGCATGAACAGGCCTTGGTCTAACAACAGGGCTAGTGGGCAGGGCTGGATTGCCATGACAGAACCCCTGGCATTGCTCCACTCCTCCCAGCTCGGCACCTCCCCCGCCCCTCAGCCCCACAGCCTTTGGTGGGGAGAATAGGGGGTGAGATGATGAGCACTTAGTTAGAAGGACAAACCTCTCACCCAGGCTCACAAGGCATGGATCGCACTCACCAGTCCAGCCTCGCCTCGTCCCCTCTCTTCAGTCACTGGGCTGCAGCCGCCCCGCGCCCGCCCCCTCTCTGTTCTTCTCCCAACAGGGTGTGCATAACTGTTGTGCCGTCCTTTCAGAAGGCTCTTCCCCTGGCCCAGCCCAGCCTCTTTCACAGCCCTCAGGCCTCAAACGAAGTATCTCCTTCACAGACAGGCCTTCTCTGGCCCTCTGATCGAGACTCATCACTTCCTCCTGCCGGTTTCTCTCCTCCGCTGCATCCTGTTAACTTCCTTCCCAAATCTTTTCAAACGTTATAATCATCATTTTTTTAAGTATGTATTTGGTGTTTCTCTCCCTAACTGGAGTACAAACTCAGTGAAGGCAGGCACCCGGTTTGCCCTATTACTGATTCCCCCGGGCCTATGGCTCAGGGAATCATCCAAAATGTGTCCTTAATAGAGCCACCAGATAAAATATTGGATCGTCAGTAGAAAGAGGACCTGAGTCTCCATCGGGATTGCAGGAGCCAGGGCCGGAGCAGAAGAACCAAGAGTTGACGGCCAAAGGCAGGCCCTAGTTCCTAGTAGTCTCTGTCTTCAACTCTGCTTTGGGGCCTGTGAGTCTCAGTCTCTCATAAACTTGACAATGAAGTCCCACCAATAAACACAAATGAGGATGTGTTCCCAGGCACAGACATTTTCTCATTTTTAAGGACTTTTTTTTTTGACCTTTGTTCTGAGCTGGATCATCTGCTAGCCAAGGGTAAATAAGCAAGAAAACAAGTGAACAAATAGCAAGTTAATATTAATGGGATCACTGAAACAGCCCTTTTCAATAGCTGGTTGTATGTGGAGGTGGTGGGACTAATGCTCCTGGCTCTATGCTGCAGTCTCGTGATTCACATTTCTGCTGGCAAAGCTGATTTTATTTACATGAAAAAATTAAGTCGACCAAAACATCACAGCGATTCATGAAAAGCTGACATAAGGCCTGGTCATCCACAGAGCGTACTGTGAAACCCAGGTTGCTGCCACCAGCTACACACATTCGAGAAACTCTGCTGTGGACCAGTTTTAAAAAATAAGAGAACCTAGGCTCGTACTTCTGCTAAAGGAAATATGACACATTTCCTTTCCTCCTCCTCTTTTCATTTTTGTCAAAGCCACACTCTAACCATGAACACACTCATCCCAACTGTGTTCAGCCAGAGAGATCTGAGTCAGGGCCGGTGGCCTCTTCTAAGCAAGCATTCAGCCTGGCTCTCTACGCTGTCAGATTCTGTCTTTCTGGCTTTATTCTGCTGACATTTTCTTTTCCGGGGTTCGGTTCTCTGTTCATGTTACACTCCCCACCGTCTGCCTTTGCCCTTACTCTTCTCTCATGTCCCTTCTCTCTCCCTGAATCACAGCCTCATCTGCATAATCGGAGCAGCCACAGGTCCTGTGTGCCAGGCACCAGTCCATTTGTACGGATGAATCTAACCCACGTCGGTCTCACGACAGCCCCCAAGAACAGGCCAGTAGACGCACCGCAGATGAGAATGTAGGAACAGGGAAGGCCACATTACATGTCCAAGGTCACATGACAGGTGAACCACAGAACAACGATGAGAACCCTGGTGATCTGGCTCTAAGGTCCACGTTAACCACCACATCCCTACGTGATACCTGCATCCTGGAGTCATTGTCACCAAAGACCAATGAGGACAGCTTCCCAGAGCTCAGGTCCTCCAGAGAAGCTCTGTTAATGAACTCCAGAGCTATTTGTCTCCTCTGAGTTTCACCACTGACAGGCTATATGGCCCTGGGCTTAACTTTGCTGAGGTTCAGTTTAAGTAGGACTTACTAGGTAATAGTCTATGTGCTGTACTTAAATTAGCTCATTTAATTTCTAGAACATCTACAAAGTAAAGTTCTATTATTGTACCCATTTTACAGATGAGATGTCCTAGACACAAGGACAATAAGTAACCAAGGTCACATAGCTAGTAAGTGGTAGAGGTAGGATTTGAACCTAGGATAAATACATGGCTGCAAAACCTATGCCCAGGACCATTATTCCACACTGCCTCTGCTGCATGAAGTATGAATGACAAGGATAATGTCCACCAGGCCTCAGTAGGTGTATGCTCAGTTAGAAAGAGGCAGCTTCTTACTGTGATTATGACAATCCTGCCTGACAGACTTCACTATCCACTGGCCGTGTGAACTTGGGGAAGTTACTGATCCTCACTAAGCCTCAGTTTTCTCCTCTGGAAGATGGAGATAATAATAGTAAGTCTGCTCCCATAGGGTTGTTAAGAGAATTTAATAAGAAGATATCTATTAAGTGCTTAGCACAGGGCCTGGCACAGAGTAAATGCTCAAGAGATTTTGAGATCGTTTTTTAATTATTAATAAGCCTTCAATCAAATTAGATTCCTTCTCAGGCCCTTCCACTGATCAGAGAGAATTCTTGAAGAAACTTCTTCTCTCCGTGGTCTCTTACAGCTTTCTTAAGTTATTAATGAAAGGAAAGGTCAGGAGATGAGTTCCTAACTGACAACAACCCAATATCCTACCTGTTCTTTCTTTCAAGCTTCTGCTCTTTAATATTTGCAAAATGTGTAATGTCTGACAGCAACAATATTCTAACATCCTCGATTCTAGCAGTCTTCGAGGCCACAGTCGTGGCTGCTCCTGGTGGTACCAGGTCAGGGGAGGGAGCTGCTGCCCCTGGACCTCACCTGTCACTACATCCAGTGTCCATCTTCTCAAGAAGTCTCAAAGTGTTCAACTCTTGAAGCTGTGGGCTTAGGTGACATATATGAGAAGGAGAGGAGAACCTTGTAGAAAACATACATTTAGGAAATGAGAAAAACAAAAAAATAAAGAGACAAGGACCAGAAGGAGGAGAACCGGGACGGAGAATTAAGTCAAAAAATAAATAGAGAGAGGAGTTTAAGAGAAGTTCTATGTGCTGACGCTCCTTCGATTATTTATATGTCATTCGATAGATATTTTTTGAGTGCCTACTGTGTGCCAGCTAGTCCTGGGAGTTGGGGATATAACAGTAAAAGATAGATTTTTTTATAGATGATAGATGGATGATAGGTAGATGATAGATGATAGAGATGATAGATGATAAATATATTGATGATAGATGATTGATAGATATAGATGATAGATAGATGATAGATCAAAGATAGATAGATAGATAGATACATAGATAGATAGATAGATGATAGATAGATAGAGATAGATGATAGATAGCCAGCCATAGACTAGATAGATAGATAGATAGAGATAGATGATAGATAGCCAGATGATAGATAGCTCATATTACATAAAAATGAGTAAAAGACAAAAATCCTCGTCCTCATAGAGTTCACATTCTACTGGGGGAGAGCGGGGAACAATAAATAAAATATTTAGAATATTAGATAGTGAAAAATGCTGTGGAGGAAGAGCAGGAAATGGACACAGAGAGCGCTGGGTGCTGCGGAGGGGCCGTTCCAGCTTTCAAATGCTCCCAAGGATGGCCTCCCTGAGAAGGTGACATCTGAGCAGAGACCCAAGGTTGGCGAGAGAGGGAGCTGTGTAACTAATAGAGCATTGCGGGCAGAGGCAACGGCAAGTTCAAAAGTCCTGAGCTTGCCCAACGCTTTTGGTAAATACCAGAGAAGCCATTGTAGTGGAAGCTGAAGCGGGGAGAGGAGAGGAAGAACACGAGGGGCACAGGCCCAAAAGGTGACATGGGAAGTTACAGCGCGAGGTGTCCTGTTCCTAAAGAAGCAGGAAGAATGTAACGTTATCATCACTATTTCCCATGAAAAGAGGGCACCCTTGATAACGAATCATCCGTGACAGCACGTAGCAGAACATACGCCCAAATGTCAGGCAGAGCATACGCTGTTATCCCTGGCAGAGGACTTCAGATGTCCCAGAGTCCAGTCCCCGCCCTTTCAGAGAGGGAACTCGAACTGAAGGGAACATTCTCTGCTGGCACTCGCATTCCTCTCTGCTGGGCACACTATGAGGGTTTATTAAACACTTAGGGAGCGTAAGAGAATGCTGCTGGTGGTGGATATACGGTCACCTGACGTGAAAGCGTGTAGCGTGTTCTATGAAGTGGACCTTGGGGGCGTTATCTGTGACAAAGGCGTGCAGGTGGTGAATCAGGTAAACGTGATGAGACTAAATCAGCCCGGCTATAAATAAAGTCCAGTTACTGAATATCATTAGACATTCAGGAGGAAGAAAGAATTGAAACAGAAGGAGGTTTGGTTTTTTTTGAGAGGGTGGTGGTCATTTTTGTATAAGACAAAGTAGAAGAGAAGGGATTTTTGTGGGGGTCTCAAATCTTGGAATAAGATGAAAATGTAATATCTGCAGTCATGACTAGAGCAGTGACAAATTAGTTATAAAAAATGTTGATCTATATTTGATTACGAGTGATGTAATTATTAGCATATAAGAAAAAGCTACAAAATATGCTTGGGAGATGGAGATTGGAGCCACACACCTTTCTCTATGAAAAGGAATAAAGACACTAGAGGCAGTTTGTCAAGTTCGTCCTGTGACTCAAGCAGTACTTTGGCCATTTTCAGTAAATACGCAAGTGTCAAGGGCGAGAAAGGGCCTTTCTGCTCATCCGACCCTCACAAGTGTCCCTTACATTAGGGAGCAGTTCTGCACAGGCAAGGAATCCTACGTTTCCTGCCAGCTGGGTGCCCTGTACTCTGGGCCTGGACAGCCGGAGGCCACATCGCCCAGCACAGTGGGCAGCCAGAGGGATTTTTCAATGTGACGATCTGCCAGAATTTCAGTCCTCCCTCAGACACAGTCTCATGAACGTTTTGCTCTTTTAATATAAAACTGACAAGACCAAAATTTAGAACAGGATACAACGTTTGTGTCTCTTTCAGCCATCATCCCCTCAGTGTGAAAAGTTTAGAAATGTTTAACCTCGACCCCCCCAAAAAAAGCCTCGAATGAAGTCTGAATATATTTTCCTTCTTTTTCCTGAACTGTGCATTTGCTCCCCTTGGAACTCTCTAGTGACAATGCCTGAACACACTGATTTGGAGTCTAAATGTGTGTCTCGGTCCAGGGTCCCTAGTACTGACAATTATGACAGCAAAAGGCTAACAATCTGTATTTATAAAGTGGCTCGGGCAGACTGACAAATAAAAACGAAAACTCAAAATAAAAAGCAAAAAAAAAAAAAAAAAAGGAACCGATAGCACTTCACAAGACAAAAAATCTAGATGGTCAACAAACACTGGAAAAATGTTACGCTTTACTCTTGGAAGAGGAACAATCATGATGACACCTCATTTTTCATTACGGAAGATAAAAAGGCTTAAAAATACCCAGCATTGGGGAGGATGAGATAAGCATTTTTTTAGACCGCCGGTGGAAGGTGTCAATGTCCAAACCTGTAGAAAATTTGTATGAGTTTATTTGAGCCAAACCGACAACATATGCCAGAAAACAAAATCTCAAATGCTCTGGAGAATGGCAGTTTTACAGCTTTTTTTTTTTTTTCCCCCCTAGCTTGCTTTACATATTAGAATCAAAGGAGAAGACGTAAGGGAAGTCCATGAAATCCAGTAGTGGTAGGTTAAGGAGGTGGCAGAAAGCATAGCAAGGAAATCTCTAAAACTGGATAAAAAGAAGAATGGGGAACACATGCTGCTTTTCCATTGGTGGGTACAGGACAGTTAATAACTAACGTTTACAGTACACAGAGCTGGTGTGGGGGGGACCAAGATGACAATGCGGAGTTTTGTGGTCTCGTGCTCTGGTCCCGGTGATTGTGCCTTCGGGGAGTAGGAAAAGGAAATTACTCTGACATTTCAAAGGTATGTACCCTCGATGCTCATTTAAGATTGACCTTTGCTAAGGAAGCTGTCGGTCTGGGATGTGACTGCCTGCTATGACCTATCCAGTTAGAAATGTATGATCGGGCCGTCCTTGGTGGTTATTTTTAGTCACTGAGCTTGTCAGGCCTGTCACATGGACCCCCGAGTTTATTGCATAGCGCCTTTACTGTTCACGAAGAATAAATTGATTCACAAATTTTTTTTGTTCACGAAAGATAAATTGATTCACAAACATATTCCCCAAAGCATTATTTATAATATCACGAATTAGTAAAACATAATATATGAAAACTATAAACTGTGAGACTTCTATATGCAGACATTAAAAATATCATTTAGGAAACATTTCTAGTGACACAGGGAAATAGTCACGCTGTAATGGATGTTTATGAAATGGGATACAAACATCTATTTATGTGATCTCAGCTGTGTAAAACATCATAGAAGGAAATGTGTTAAGAGAGGTTTTTTCTACAACCTGAAGTCATAGATAGATGATTTTTAGCGTTTTCTAGTTTTCTACGATCGGCATGTATTACTTTCTTATAAACAGGAAAAGTTCACCTAAAAATGGTAATAGTTACTCAGCAGTCTCCCCTTTTGCCCTCTGAAGGAAGTTTATACTATCAAAGGGAATTAAAAGGCTCATCGTGGGAGAACATGAGTACTAGGGTTGTTAAAAGCCAAACAAAACAAAACAAAAATCAAAAAACCCAGGGCCGGCTCTTAGGACGGCGGAGGAGAAGGATGCCATGGGGTTTTCCAACCAAACACCCATTACTCTCACTGCAAAGCGTTTAGGAAAAGGGGCCTGGACTAGCACCACCCTCTCTGTCCACGAGTTCCACGTTTCCCACAGGAAGCGTGTAGGAGCCATTCTAGCACTGTGCGGAGTCTGCGTGAGACATAAAACATCACCGCTCACCTTAAGAAGGTGTCTTGTAAGGATACATATGTGAAATAACTAAAGGAGTTTACGTGCCGTCTTCATATATTCTATTTAAAAATAAAGTGAGTTCCTTCCTCTGTATCAGGCACCATTCTGGGGATAAAATGGGGAACAAAATAGATGGAGATTGTTCTTTGGAGAAATCACAGCCGGTGGGAGCGCTGCTGGTGTTCAGACTGTGGGCTGAACTGAAAGCTGGGGGGAAATTAATAGATTTAGAGACAGAAAAAACAAGGTAGGACTTTTGGAGTTGGGGAGACGGGAATGGCGACAGCCTGGGGTAAGCAAAGCAAGAGAGGGAAGCCAGAGAGAGCGGGGCCTCACTAGAGAATTGCAAGTTCAAGTTCTAAGTCGCTCCAGATGGTGGAGAACCGCAAGCGCCAGGCGTAGGAGTTGGGGCTGAACTCTACGTGCACGTGCACGGGGAGCTGAGAAGAATAGAGGACACCAGAGATTAGCAACCCCTCAGCTCCACTTTGATTTTGTTTCACTTTCTGTGGCGAATCTCTAAAACGTCACTTGAGAGAGGAGAGGGAAGTCAAAAACGCACCCGGCCAGCGAGGCTTGACGCGATCTCCCTGATACAATCTCCTCATCTGAGAAGTCACGTGACTTTCTGAACCTAGCTCCGTCTTCAGCTAAAAAATGTTTAATGATAATGATTTTTTTGAACCCAAGTGTAACGGGTTTGATATAGGAGCAATAAGAGGGAGCATTTATACAAAGGCAACTCCCGACTCCCTGGACAGTGGGGGCAAGTCAACCCTTATTTCCTACAGCACAACGGTATAAATCGGAGTTTCAGTCCTGGAAACCCATCCTCCATCCTGAAATACCGAAATCCATCCACCGCAAATGCAGATACAGGCTTTTTCAGGCATTTGTTAAATATGCAAAAACGTCCAAAATATGTTCCGGTTGGGAATTTCCCCCATACTGGGGGGGCTGGACTGTTTAAAACTCTTCATTATACCATTCTAATAAAGCACAGAATAAAGATACAGTTTTGATTCCTGATAAATCTTTCTGTAGCAAGCACCATTGCTCCAGGAACCTCCCAGCCATAGTCAAACAGCCTTCAGCCTCTTGGGTGTTCACTAACGCAGGCCTCCAAAGCTTCTGACCAAGAAGTGCTGTGCAGGGCAGCTGGCAGGGCCCTGCTCAGATGCCCACCCCGGCGCCCCGCAGAGCTCCCCAGAAGCAGCAGCCAGGAGCAGGAGACCGCAGTCAGGTGGTGGCAGCATTGACTCAAGCCCTCACTGTGTGCATAGTTTCATATTTCTGTTCTGACAGCCACCTGCCTTACTCCCAGGCCACGTCCCCAGGTCTCTGTCAAAGGAGTCACTGATAAATCTTTATTCTCATTATTCTCACTCACTGGAGTCCTTTGGAACCACCTGCTATAAACCGAATGTTTGTGTCTCCAACCCCACAAATTCATTTGTTGAAACTTAATCCTCCAATGAGATGGTGTTAGGAGGTGGAGCCTTGGGGACATGGTTAGGTCATGAGGGTGGAGCCCTCAGCGATGGGATTGGTGTCATAAAGGGGACTTCCAACAGCTCCCCCTCCTCTTTCGCCAGGAGAGAACACAGCTAGAAGGCGCCTTGCCATCTGAGAACCAGGAAGTAGGCAGCGCCAGACACCGAATCTGCCAGCACCTTGATCTTGAACTTCCCGGCCTCCAGAACTGTGAGAAAGACATTTCTGTCCTTTCTAAGCTGCCCAGCCTATAGTATTGTTACAGCAGCCCAGAGAGACTAAGACCCGCCCTCTCCTTTGGCCCCTCCCACATCCTATTCCCTCCTCCTAGGTTTTTCTGGGGTTTTTTTTGTTTGTTTGTTGTTGTTGTTGTTTGTTTTTCCCCATTTGGTTCCCTTTCTGTTCTTGCAGAACGTTTGGTGGGTGTGCTCAGACAGACCCTCCTGTCAGCTTTAGGAAAGAGGAGGGCAGTCCCTTCAGAAGTTGATCTCCAGGGCCACCTGGCACTCCTGGCTGGGTGCGGGCACGGGAAGGGACACCCCTCTGCATTTGGGCCCCAGCACCTTGTGCCTGGAAGGTTTGCAGCAGTGGGTTCCTAGGCCCTTGGGGATGTAAATGGCTGATGTGTTCCATATTGGAAAAATCTATAAATATATACTGTGTAGACTATAGGTTTTTCTTTTTTTGGATGCCAATTTGGAGTCCTTCTGAATAAAAACGTAGCGAAAAGATTTTTCAAAAGCATGATGAGAAAAATATACTATATACTACTAGAGGGGTTACCGTTCAAAAGTTTTCTGTAGATCAATTTGGCAATATGCGATAAAATCACTAAAGATACCCTTGACCCAATAATTGCCCTTTTAGATATTTAGCACTGTCTTTGACTATCACTTATTATGGTGAAAAATGGAAACTGTTCAATAATAGTCTAATAGATAAAATCTATGACAGAAACAATTATGTGGCCATTAACCATGTTTTTGAAGAATATTTAACAGCTTTGAAAATATTTACGATATTCAGTGAGAAAAGCTTTATGTTCCATGGTATAATTATTTAAAAACACATCAGCACAGATATTGGTAGAACATTAACAGTGGTTCTATGTACGTGGTGGGAGATAAAAGGTTATCATTATACATCTTTGCTTTTTAAAAATATTTTCCAAGATTTACATAAGTCACACATATTACTGTTGTCGTCAGGGGGAAAAAACACAGTTGTAGTTTTAAAAGGAATGATGCGAGTTCATCAGTATCCCATCTTAACCCGGTAAGGCGTTCCCAGAGCAGGCAGCACACTAGTGGCCTGGCAAGGATCCTCAACCCTGTTTCATGTTAGAATGGGCTGCAGAGCTTCTAGAACAAGCCAGTGCCCGGCCCCAGCCTCAGGAGTTCTGGTTTGACTGGTTTGTGGCCCAGGATGGTAATTCTTACGGCTCCCAGGCGGTTACTGACAGCTGCTCTAAGAACCATGGGTCCTTGTCCACCAGGTCCCCAATCACGGTGTCAGCCCTCGGCCTAGACAAACCTGGCCTCCCCTGGGGTGAGAAACCCCCTCACAAATGTCTCCAGTGGCTCGTGGTGTTTAAGCGGCGTGTTTGGGGCACTCAGAACTGCCTGGGACTTTCCTCCTGAACTCAGCCCAGAGAGGCGGCCGATGACTGATCAAGTGGGTCCTGCCCATAGGTTGCCTCAGATTTCTTGTGGTGGGGGGTGTGGGGATGGGAGTTTGCCTCAGGTTTTGATGGAATTCCAGAAGGAAGAACGTGAGCTTGCGAAGAAACTAGGAGGGAGAGGGGGAGAGCTGGACACTCACTGGTGTGACTTCCCTGCAGGTACCCAGCCCTAGTGGAGGGCGGCAGGAGGAAATGACCGTCTCGAGGCCAAGGCGGGGCACCCAGCTGCTGTCCCTCTTCACCACGATCTTCGTGGTCATCTTCTTGCTCTTCTACGCGCTCTATTGGAAGCACGGCAACCTCATCGACTTGCCCGACCAGCGGATCGGCTTCTTCAACTTCTGCCTGTGGGACGAGGACACTAGCTCCCTACACTGCCACCGGTTCTCTGAGCTGGAGGCCCTGGGGGTGCCTCGGGTTGGCCTGGCCCTGGCCAGGTTGGGTGTGTACGGGGCCCTGGTCTTCACCCTCTTCATCCCCCTGCCTCTGTTCTTGGCCTGGTCCAACGGTAACAAGGGCAAGTGGCAGCCGCTGGTGGCCTTCCTGGCGATAGCCTCCACGCTGCTGGCCGGCGGCCTGAGCCTCTTCTTCACCTGCGTTGGGAGGTGGATCACCCTCTCCCTCCTGGGGCTTGAGTTTCTGGCTCTCGCCACTGCCCAGGCCCTACTCATCCTCCTGCTCATCGCCGCAGTTACGCTCTCTCAGCGGGCAGAGAAGGACGAGAGCGAGCTTGAGAGCTGCTATGCCAGTCCTGTGTAAAGGCTCACGTGATTGCAAGCGCTGTTTGAACGATGCTCAGAGAAGATGCTGGTGAATTCGTGGGTTGCTACGTCTCCTTGGCCACCCTGTTTCATAGCTAATGCTGATCTCAAGTTTGAGCGGACAGGCCCCACTGCGGAGGGGATGGGGTGCCCGGTGTCAAGGAGGCCGAGAAGCATAAGGGCGGCCGGGGCACCTGTGGCTTCTTAGTGTAGGTAGGGTTGTCTGATCTTTGGGACTTTCCAGGTTCCCAAGGCCACCCTAAATCACATGCTTCATCTCGGGAGAATTCCTGCTTTAATTAACTCATCCGAGCCTTCAGATTTTAATGTCAGGAGGGCGGGGAGGTAAGGATTCCTGTCACAGGGCCAGATCCCAGGACAATCTGCCAAATGCCAAACAGAAACCCAGGGAAGGTTATGGCAATGAGTGGGGACCACTGAAAGAGATAGCACCTCAGTGTCCTCGGAGCCCTGGTTAGCAAACTGCCCCTTCCCCCTGTCCCTGGTGTGTGGGATGTGATGAGCCCCGCCACTGCGACACCACTCCCAAAGGCCCAGCAGAGACCTCCAAGGGAGTCACCAGAGACAGAGCAGGCGGACGGGGCAGGGGGGTCAGCCGGCAGGTCACCCCTAATGTGGGACCTGTGAGTTTGGGAGCAGAACACGGCAGATCCTGGGCAGGGAGGAGGGGAAACAGGACTGAATGGTTCCACGTACACATAAATGTCACATCCCTTCACTGCTCAGCCCAGAATTAGAAAAGATACAAGTACAACGACCTGTGCTTGGGAATTTTGTGTATTTTTCAGCACCTGTATATTGGAAAATCTGTACAGCAAATGGTCACCTCACTTACAACTGTCAAGAGCTGCGCTGAATACAGAGGCAGAAACATGAACTCCGACGTGATCTCTTGTCCTTAGCGTCCTGTCTCACTCTCAATTTACGCCCAACTAGGGATCAAGGCCAAGGCTGCCAAGTGGAAGGGAGTGGGCAGCTCGGGGAGGAGGCTTGTTGATTGGTAAGAGGCTTGTAGCGTCTGTACACAGTGAACTTCGAGCTCCCAGACAGCAGAGCGCTGGACAGTATGTCTGCCTGCAAGGCTGGACGAGTGAGTGAGGGGCCCGGATTGACTGGCTGCGTGATAGGAACTATTTTTAAAATAGGCTTCCTCCTCAGGGAGAGGCTGTGCTGACTAAAGTGGAGGAAGCCCAGGGTATTTAGCAGCCATACTTTTTTTTCCATTGTAAACTATTAAGTTGATTCTTTGGTTCCAATAAGTTTGACCGCCACGACCTCACTAACCTTGCGGCCGGCTCCACCCTGCGGCCTGGGTTTCCAGCTCTCGCCACTGCCCAGGCAGTACTCATCCTCCCGCTTACGGCCATGGCTGAGTTCCCTCGGAGGGCAGAGAAGGACGGGAGCAAGCTTGAGAGCTGCTGGTCCTGTCTAAAGGCCAAAGTGATCGCAGGTGACTACGACAGACAACTGGGATGGCAGACCCCTGAGCGGGGAGAGGACACAGTGCAGAGGGGAATTCTAACGCAGAGGGGAATTCTAACAGGAGCTGTGTGGATTCCTCACTTCCCAAGGCTCCAGTGTCCTGGGCTTCTGCTACAAGGTGACCCTCTCCAGCCGAAGGAGCAGTCCCCAGGCAGAGAGGAAAAGCGCAAATTCCTTCCTGCCCTGGATAGAAAGTCCCACAGAATCTGTCCCTTAGCTGAAAAATATCTCCCTGACATATTTTAACATATCTTCATCTTCCTCAGGGCTTCTGCTGCAGGCAGAGTCAGAATCCGCAGGCCCGTGACAAGGGCCGAGGCCTAGGGGAGGGGCGCCTTTCTCATTGTCCTCGTCTTCCTCCTCGATTCTGTTCCCAGACGAACTCGGGGACACTGAGCAGGTGGGGAAGCACTCTGGCTTATCAGTGCCTTCCAGAGGCAGCTCCTCCAAGGCCTTTTCCTGTTTTTGACTCTGTGAAATAGAAGAAATGACAGGCAAAACATGTGTTTTATTTCCCTAAAGTGCTTGCTAGTCTGTCAGCGGTACAGAGCATACCCAGAAGCCACTGTGAAGCCAGCAAGTGACCAGGTCCTGGCACTGCTCCCAAACCCATGACTGCCCCACCTCCTTCACCCCACTGCCGCCCTGCCCACCACCTCTCCGCAGCTCACGAAAAAATCTAGTCCAGCTTGGGAGAGAAGGTGGCAGGGGCCTGAGGAACACCTGAGTAGAAAAAGAGTAGCAAAAACTTGTCTGGAAAGGCAAGGTGACAGAAAAGAAGGAGCACAGGATACAAAACTTGTGTGTGGGCCTAAGCTGTCATTCACTGGCTGTGGAACTGAGGGAGAGTCCCCGAGTCTCAATTTCTTCAACTGTAAAATGGGGATAACAGTATCCAAAATAGCCATATCACCAGCTTATAGCAAGGATTAAATGAGATAGTAATAGATAAAAACACCCGGTCAACTCTACAGTGCAAACGACCCTAAGGTGGTACAATTACGGTCTTCCAGGAGCCATGAGCCTTCAGTGTTCTGCTCAGAAGTGCAGTGGCAACAAGTCATCCCGCCCGCCTGAGACTCCAGAGAACGCAAGCACTTAAAGACTTCCTGTCCCCCAACATCCACACCAGCATAGAGTCCCCCCAACACGGGGCTGCTCCCCCTCTCCCAGCCACCCCTCCCCAGGCCACATGAGAAGGTGGGGCGTCTCTTCTCCAGGCATTAACCAAGGGCCTAGTCTAGTTTTTACCCATAAAGGGTTTTGTGGTCATGAGACGAAGGCATATGATTTCACCTCAATCAGGAGCCCCAGGGCAACATCCACGAGTTCGGCTTCACTCATGCAGTACACAGTCTTCACCGTGGGAAGTCTGGAAGAAAGGCACCATGCTACGGACGGAGACAGACGGCCACCGCGTCTCATGAGGAGGAAGACAAGGAGACAAGGGCGTCGCAACCCCAGGCTCTGAGAGCCGCAGCTTCCTTAGGGCACCAACGCGATTTCCTCGTCCTTGTGACCAGTGACTGGCAACGGGAATCACGGACACAACAGTGGGGGCGTCCCACCCTCTGCCAGCTCCCCCGAGGATCTGGAAATAGGGCATGATGGCCGCTTCCGACACCACGCTGGATGCGAGCAGACCAAACAGACCATCAGGCCGAGACCTGCCTGAAACCTTGCTGACTGGACGAACACGGAACGGAAGGGCCGCGACAATCAGAGACGGAGCCGGTCGATCGAGAAACCTCAGAACAGGAGGAGCCAGCCATAGGGGGAGCACGGAGCCCCCAGTGCCCTCTCAGGACAGTACAGGGACATCCCCTCCCTGGCAGCCGGAATACCCCACAGCTACCATCATTCAACTAGCCCGACCCACAGCCTCTGATTTCTGTCTGTCCCTGAAGATCTGCCCGCCCGTAGGAAGACTGGACAAGCTGGTCCACTCATCTTGCCCACTTGATGGTCACAATTTTTGCTGCAAGTGAAGAGATTGGCATTTTGGACGACTGGTGCCTGAGGGCTTGGCTGATGCATATAATCTCGAGAAGGGGAACCTACTCGCTAGGAGCTGACAGGGAGGGCCTGATGTGGAGCTTCACCAACGGAGGCAGCGGCACCTGTGTGTAAGGGGACAGTCACCCTGCCTCACGCCCTCAGCCCACGTGCCTTTAAGAGCTGAAGAGACTCTAGTGGACTGAAACACCCACCCACTTTGCCGTTCTGCCAACACTGAAGACCCAGCACCAGCAAACTGTGATGCCCTCAAATTGCTCTCCACTCCCGCTCTCGATTCCAAAAAAGGACCATGGCCAGAAATTGTCCTACCTTGCTGCAGCCGCTGGCCCTGCTGTCATTGTCCTCCTCTTTGGGGTCTTCGCTGGCACCATTCTCTTCTCAGCTACCTGGGCTGTCATCCAGGCAGGGAGAATCCTCTTTTTATCCCCAGAATTGAAGGCTGCCATCTCTCTAGTCGCCAATGAAAAGGATCAGGACCCACATATACTGACTTCTTTTTCTAATTCAGGACAGCGAATCCCACTCATCACATCAGGAATTGTAGGTCTGTTTGTCCAGACTGAGAGTCAAGCTTTAATTCCTACAAAGAAGAACAAAGTCCAGTGAATTCTAATAAGTTAGCATACTCCCAGTCATCAGCCACAAGTACTGGTTGGGGCAGGTCAGAGGTGACCTAGGTGGTGAGCAGGGCCCAGGTGACTCAGACAGGCCATTCACAGGGCATCAAGGGAGGTGTGGTAGTGGGCAAGCTGACGGGCTCAGGGAGAGACAGCGCTCCAACCTGGCGTAGGTCCCCCGGCCCCACGCAGGCAGCCAAGCCCAACAGAAACGCTTCCAGTAGTCTCTGCACTGAGCCATTCAACACGGGAGAAGAGGGATAAACACCCTCCCAGGAGAAAGGAAGAAAGGAGAGCCCCGCCCCCCTCATCACCCTGGATGCTCACCGTGCCCAGAGTGCCCAGCCGATCTGACCCCTGAAATCTCTCAATGATCTTTCTCTCCATCCTGGTGTGGTTACAAGAAACCTTGAGGCCATTTTGATTTACAATAAGGTGCCATTGACCAACACTCCCTCCCTTAATCCAAAGATACTTCTGCCTTTTCAGATTTAACCAGCAGTAGGGGTCAGGCACCACAACTGTTGGCTGGCTTCCTGATGTGTGGACTCCAGAAGGGCCAAGGCATCGGACTCTCTTCTTCCCACCCCCACGTGATTCCACCCCAGCCTCTACGTTCTACTCAGCAGTCAGCTCTGAAAGCAGCTCAGGGTTCCCGCCTAGGGAGGCTCTCATGGGAGCAGAGGTGTATCTAGAAAAGGGTAGTCAGCCAAAAATAAGAGACTCCTCCCTGAACCACAACTTGATCCTATATTGCTCATCTAGAATGGCTGTTTACAACTTAAGAAAAAAATTAGTCGGACATCACCTTAACCAGTCTGGCCACAGAGGACAGACCTTTGCCGATGTACTCATGTCTGTCAAAATTCAGACAGTGACCAACGTCATTCCCGCGTCTATGAGCACTGCTGACTCACCACCGGGCCCAGGCACAGCTCTGCGGTCGATGAATACGTTTATTTGATCCCGCGGCAGGTATAACTGGGCAGCTATAAAGCCTATTTTACAGACAGGGAACTGAGACTTTGCAATTTCCACAAGATCACAAAAAAGTTGTGATCAGCCAGCCAGGACTCGCAACCACGCCCCGCAGACTCCACACCCGGAAGCGCCGAGGCCGCGCGGGGCCAGCTGGGAAAATCCGGGCCGCCCCGCGAGCACGCGCGGGGGCCGCACTCCCGACTCGGCGCCCGCCCTGCAGAGGGGAGAGGCCGGGAGACACGGGGACATCCACGCGGGGCCTCGCAGACGACGGGAACCGC